ACAGCACCCCGCGCTTCCACTTTTCACCAGGGAAAAGTGTTTCGAAGGGTTTCGAAGTCAAAAGAATTCCCGTTTCTGCCATTTCTGAGCCCCGGTTGCGAAGGGGGGTGGCTCAGCGGGAAGGGGACTGCGAGGACCATCCCCTCCGGCAGCCGGAGCTGCGTTACTGGTACCCAGTTCATCGCCCGACCGCGGCTCCGCTCCCCGTCCGTACCCCTCCCCGGCCTCGCTGCCTCACGGGGCAGAGTCGGTCTTTGCTCTCGTTAATTTTCCTGCCGTTGATGAGCAGCCAACGCTGATCCCTCTGCGCAGCCTCTCCTCCCTCCAGAGAGCCGACGGCACCTCCCGCCCGGCGACAAACCGGTGCTTTATCCCCTGCCCCGAGATGGTCGGTGGAGATATCGGAGAGGACGGTCCCCAGGCCGGCGTTCCCCCTCGCTGCCCGCGGCGGCTCCCGGCCCCGCAGAAGTGACCTCAGACGTCGTTATCGATGGCGACGAGATCTGCTCGCCGAGAAACTCCCGCGAGGCAAAATCCCCCCTCTGCATCTTCCGTCAAACCTCGTTGTAAACGGGGAAATAAATCCCGTGTCGCTTGCCGGGCAGATACATTCACTTTCTCTTTTGTTTTCCGGTTTGGATTATAACTCCCGGTGGCAGAAGTGAGGTTTCCCGCCGTGGGAACGGCGCTTTGGGTGGAATCGATCCCAGTTGGGGACCGGAGGAGGGACTGGGGCTCCTCTGCAGCCCTCAGCCTGTTTTCTGGAATCGCAAATACATTTCCAAACCCCAAACGGGGGTGGGTGACTCATTTTTTTTATTGTTTTTTAATAGCTCTTCTGTGCTATGTCTGAATTAACCCGAAATTCTGGTTTCTTGCGCAAGAGCGACACTTTTCCGCGCAAATCGCCCGCTTGATTTGAGTGAGTCTCGGGACTGTTTGGGTGCTGGATTTCGGCGTTTCCCTGCCCAGGATGTTTTGGCTTCACCCGTGTCTCCGGAGTTGCGTTTGCGGGAAGCTGAAGCCCGTGCGAGACGACGTCTGTGCAAAAATATCGCTCCCGCACCGGTATAAAACCACGTAAATTAACCAAAACGCCCACGTTCTGCGTGGACTGGATAACGGTGTGCTGCCCAAATCCCGGGAATGTCCAGCGCCTTGCGCGGATGATGGATTCGGAAGTGCTTTCTTCTTCCTAAAGCCTGCGGCTTTGCGAAGCCGGCGAGGCTGGGGTCGCTAACGAGCTCTCGCTTCGTTAGCGAGGGCTGCGCTCCGGGGTACCGCGTCCTGCGCCTGCGGGCGGCTGCTTCTCCCTAACCCCAATTTTCCCTTTTCTGTGCCCGGTTCGGGGGCTCTTCCAGGAGCGGCG